CACTCTTTCTCAGAAGAAAGCAGCAGTAATCCAGAAGCCAGACAAAACTGTTACTATGGTTTAAATAATTGGCAACAACCTGATGGGTGACAAGAGACTTCTCCTTTAGAGCTGGGAAGCAGCAGGCTGTGAGCATGCTCTGTGCCATGTACAGCTGAACTGGAGATTTCTTTATGAGAGCAGCTACTAAGGTGTCCAGAGCATAAACACTGCTCGATGGCCATAAACATATTATTGCCCTTCTATTAATCTTACTGACTTCAGACTGTCAGCAATGCTATTTCTGCTCCATTTTGTTCCTCTGTTAAAAATCCAAGGTAAGACTGCTTTTTTCTTAATTCTTTGCCTTTTGGGACACAGTAAGGAATTGTCATTTACATTAAGGAACTAACAAGGAATTTCATCTAAAGTAAGGACTCAGTAAGGAATTTTCATTTACATGATTTTCAAAAACATATTTTTAGGAAAAAAATGTTTACAGCACATGAGGAAATTTGATTTCATAAAATGACAGAATTGTCCAACCAGGTTACTCTAAGTTTTGAGGAAATGAAATTCATTGAATGTAAGACTAAAGGATAAACTGACGCTTTTTGAAAAAGTACTTGACTTCGTAAAACATTGTTGTAAGCAGCAAGCTTCACACCAGTATCATAACATATATTCTACATATTAGGTGAAAAAAATAAGCATTTAACTTAGCAACTGAATTTTCATAAATATTTCTCTATTGCAGCAAAATTTGTGGTAATTTGGCCAATAAAATCCTTTCAATATCAGCATATTAAAATTTGAATTATACATTTGATAGAGCACTTTGAATCTCTGTAATGATTGCCTAAAAGATTGCTTCTACGAGAAAAGTTCTTTCCCACAGAAACACTGTATATAACAATAAACAAGTAGAAGCTACAGTATTTCATTTCCACAAATTTTCCAAAATTAAGACTTTCCAGTTCCTGCACAATTTCTTTTTTAGTATTGAATAGTTTTCTTATGCTTAGTAATTCCTGAAGCATTACAGAAAAGTGAATTAATCGTTTTCACTGTAATTAGCTCATGAATGGTAATTTCTCAGCTTGTGAAAATTTCTTTAATAACATAGCATTTTTTTTCTAATAATGCATAAAGGGCAGGTTATAGTGTAATCAAAATAAGAAACTGAAACAGAAAATATATTGCTGTGAAGAAAAGAAATTTTCAAATTTGCCAGCCTGTTAGAGACAGTTAGAGAATATATTATTTGTTCTGTAGACACCCTGTTACAAAGGAGCAGAATATGCAGTATTTCAATGTACTGAATTTTACTAAATACTCTACTTAAAAATAACTATTTTTAAATCATTATGTTTTGTTGTGGCTGAAGGAAATTTCATGCATGTAAAGTTTTTATTTTAACATAAATTTTATTTTATTATGTTTCCAACACTTGGTTTAATACAATGTGGTTAATAAAAATCATGCAATGACTCACCTGTTCATTACACAGATTAATATATTGCTTTCATTGTTACAAGTTCAATTAGAAGAAACAAAAGTTGGAAATAATTTATTACCAAAGCATCCCTTACTCTGTTTCCTATTTACACACCATGAAATGTATCTTTATTTATTTTGAACTGTTATAAAAATATAAATAGCCACCCTACCATTCTTTCAAATTGCCTTTTCGATCTAGTCCCCATCAATAGTAGACAATAAGGCCTGAACCAATTTTGTCATAAGTTATCTTGGTTTAACAGCAAACGCTTTGTTCCCTTTAGCCAAACCTGGCTAGTTCAGACTGCTCCAGAGAGGGGTTCAACCCAGGATGACTGGGCACTCCAAGCCAGTGCAGCTTCCATCCTAAACAGGTTCCAGCTCAAAAGCCTTGGATAACCACAGGTACAAGCAAAAGATTTTTCCTGTGTGGACAAGCCCTCACAGCCCTCACATAACTGCGTTCCAAGATGTACAGAAATATGAAGAGAATAACTGATCAGCTCTTGTCTTGCCCTCTCCTCTTAAATGTGTCTACATATGTACATGTCCAGTACAGCAGCTTCGGGAATGTCATAGGACACGGTTACGTCTGGGAAACCCACATCTGTGGTGTGTTTCCAGGGAAAACATCTGTAATGTAAAATGGGTACTGATTATAGGCTGTTTAGGCTTCACTAGGTATGTACTCTGCAATTCCTAGAACAGATATACGAGTCGACTCCATAAGAGTGGAAAACATCACTTGATTATAAATACTGTTGATATCTGAATGGCTGGTTAACCTTCAAAAAGTGCCCTTAGTATTTAGTGTGAATAAACTGATGCTGTATAAAAAGGTGGTATTTTACTGCCCTCTAACGGCTGGCAACAAACAGCTCCCTTTTTTGTATTTATTCCCCAAAAAGCTCTCTCCAACAGGCCACGGTGACACCAAGTCTTCCAGTCAGAAAGAAACCTCACACAGCTATCCTCACATGCCAAGACTGATGGAAGGTAATTATACAGCATCCTAGGCATGTTGGAGAAACAAAACTGGCATGCTACCGAGTGGAAAGAAGGTTATTCAAATCAGAGGTGTAACTTTGTAATTGATGCTAGTTAGCCAAACCGTGTCTAAAACATCAGTGACTGAAATTTCAGCACTTGAATAAGTCTTACAAGTCTGAATTGATAAGCCCAGGAGGATCTTCTCATGTAGCTGAGAGAACAGGTATCTTTAACAGCAGCTTCAGTCTTTTTATATCACTGCCTAGAGATTCTATGCCTGACAAATTTAAGGATAAAATATTTAAATCCAGACTTTTACACCTTTTCTTTTTATGATGAACTGCTGTTCACAGCAGCTCTAGGACCTCTTCAGTGAGTAACTGCTTCTCCGTGTCAGAAAGGGATTTACAGTCCAGACCTTAATAATAGTACCAATGCAGGCTAGTGATCAGTTGAGTTGTTCAGTTCTGACAATAAAAAACCCTGGCTATTATAAATGTGACAATCAATCATATTCAAGTGTCATACAACTACTGACCATAAATTATAGTGTGACTCACTTTTCCACCAGGGAAAAGAATAACCAGGTAAAGGATCCATTCATTTCAAAAAGAGAGTTCAGGGATGTTGTTTTCCTGTGGAGCGCCGCGGATGAAGATTCTGTCACCGTAGTAAATGCAGCAACCCTAAAGCAAGCACTTGTTAGATTAATGTGAAAACCTGATGACCAGTGCCATATTTTGTAGATTTTATAAATTTCACAAAAACAGACAGTATCTGATTTGCATTGTTGCTTTAATCCTGTTTACCATTCAGGCCATTACATGCATGTTTCATGTGGACCATCCACAGCATTTTCAAAGTTTTGTCAACAGTTCTTGCAGTTCATCAAACATCTCTTCAACCTGTAGTTTGAATCTATCAAGTTGGGGTTTTTCCAGGGAAAATCTGATATAAACCCAAGTCTTTCTTTTCCCAGCTTGGAAAAAAGATATCGGTGGAAAAGAATGGTTATGAAAACTTAGATCTGTGCACAAGTAAATGATGTTGTGTGTGTTTTAATGTGTGTCTGCATTGAAACAGGATCCAGAAATGTAAAGATTTCTCTTTCCATTTTCCAAAAATTTTCACTAATTCTAAGTGCTTATGAGTCACTTGACATACTTGGTTTTTTTCTTTCTTTTCATCTCTTCTTAAGTGATAAGTGAACTTAACAACAGCTGTGCTCTCACTGAGCTCTCAGTCAATAATATTTCAGTGATTTTGAAGCTAAGTAAAGCAAACTGGCCTGTCTGCTCTCACAGTGACCTGGGACCACTAATAATAGGATAAAAAAAAAAAAATCTGCTATCAGCTGAAATGTGCCTTAACTATGTGTGTTACAACAGCTCCAAGCAGTATTGATTCAACAAGGGGCTTTCACTAAACCAATTTTAACCAGTGCTGAAATCTCTGGATCTGCTGGTTAGCTTTTGCACAACTGGGACATTTGCATTTCAGTTTTTCTGCTTTAAACAAAACTGTTCGTACAAGCGCAGTCACTGAAAGAGACAACATTCCTTGCTTGCACTACCAAGTTTGCAATCAATTTATAGACTTGTTTCATTAAAGCACCTTGAATAACAGTGACATGTTCGAGAACTGTGCACACATTTGCGTGAACCTAGCTGGTCCTCAGTAATACATTATATGGTTTGGTCGATTTTTGCCACTCAGAAATTTATGATGAGAAATAGGGGAAACTTAGTAGTAAGCAGAGAAAGAGCAACTCCATCATAGGCAGAAATTTGAAGACTGAATTTTATCACAGGTGAATAAAGAACTGCTTTTATGGCATTATTGCTTTGAAAGAGAATCTTCCACTTTTATCTGTACCTATTCATCAGCCAAAGTGCTGTCCATGGGGTAGTAAATCACGAGTCTTATGGAGCTGCTCCACATAATACTGCAGAGGTTGATGAGAATGGATGTGGATACCCAGCAGATGACAGCGTTGTTTGTGTGTCAGCACTACTGGAAAGCGTGTCAGGAGCAACTGCAGCCCTCGGAGCAGTAAATGCACGATGCTTGATAAAAGAGCAAATTAAGGCAAGTTAAAATGAATTTAGAGACTCAAAGAGAAAACTAAAAGAGCAAGCCCTTTCTGTTTGGATAATAGCTGGTTTTGCCGAGAGCGAAGAGAGACTCAGGATTCATTTTCAGCTCTGCTACCCCACATGCATCCTGTTGTAGCTTTGCTTCTCTTGAGAGGTCATGGACACACTCAGTTCTTTAAAAGGGACTGTCAGGCCATACTGAACATATACATGTACTTCGAAAAAATGCTTTTTCTGTCCCTGAATGAATACAGAAAGAAAGCTTTTTCCAGTCCAACCTTTGTGCAATATCTGATACATGAAAAAATGAGTTAGAACTAAACATACTGGCACTACCATAAAGACTTTGATGAAAACAGTAAACTATCAGAGTCTAATTGTAACATTATTCAAAATACTGATATACAAAGATCTATAGTTTAACCAGTCTAAACTACCTATTTTTATCCACATATTGGATCCCAACAAAAGCCTTCAGAAAAGCTAGTCTAAACTTCTTCATCCATCTTTTAAGTTTTGTAGCGAGAGAATGTTAGAGGCATCTCATTTAAAAGGCAAGGCACATCTTGACAAGATTTCCAAAATTAATTGAATTTGGATCTCAAGCCTGAGTTTGGAATCAACTATGTATGTCATCTCCTATCATCGTGCCTCAACCTCAGTTCTTTGCATTGTACAAAAAGCAGTATTATTAGGACAGTGTTAGTTAGATAAGACTAAAACATACTCAATTTTTAAAGATTACTGTTTAGCTGAATTTCTGCTCTTTCCATCCTTGCTGATACTATATAGCCCCTAATTGTCCCTTGGCCTCATAGGAATCGGATTACTTCACTTTGTTTATGTCATTCCTCCCTATAATTTTATCCCATATGTTTCATTTTAATCTTGTCTATAGTCCTATAGAGTCTCACGTTTCAGTCTTTTTATATCACTGCCTAGAGAGTCTATGCCTACAGTCTATGTCTACAGTCAGCATATCTGCCTTTGCAAGGTGGGTCCATAGACATTTCTACCTGTTCAACTAAGATTATAATCAAATTTTCCTTGTCAAATTTGAATTTCACTTTTCAAAGACATTGATAATGAGTAAAACCAGAATCAGCTGTGTATGATACAAAGAACTTTCCTGGTTTGTTTGGTTTGCTTTTTTGCAGTTTTAGCATTCTCTCAATTATTTTTTCTTGGCCATAAAAGCTCCTGCAAACTTTGTGAAAGGGAAAAAGTGTTTTTGCAAGTGGAGATATGCTCCATACCTGTAATGAAACAATAGAGCAGATTTCCTGCAAATGTTCTGCAGAAAACCAATCATTTGTGATGTGTGCCAATAGAGGAAATAACTATTCTCTTGCTTTGAACACCTTGCCTACATGAGTGATTTACAAGACTATAAATGTAATTGCATTATTGCAAAAAAATTCCCAAAAGAAAAGCCATAAATCTGAGACCAGCTTTGCAGATTCGTACCAAGATTTGACTTGCCAATTGCTCAAAGATTTTACTGTAATTGTGTGCAGTAAGTGTTCTTAGTAGTCGTACCTCTCTGATGTGTAAGTGGACACTTCCCTCTTGCCTAGCTGCCTTCAGCATGGGAAGTGGCTTTCCACATGCTCCAGCTGGAAGTTCTCTCTTCGTGAGACTTCCATTTCCCCCAGCCAGGAGCACCCAAGCACCACTTCCCTGTCCGTCCCTGGCCATGCTGCAGGGTTCTGCTTCTTAATGCTCACACCTTTGAGGAGTCAGTCTACCAGGAAAGTACATTGACAGGTTTCTTTCTGGCCAGCAATATGTTCTGCAGATGATGGGAAAAAAAGAAGAAAAACAAACAGAAACTTTAAGCTGTCTCTTCTAAATTTCAGTGGCGGTAAGCCATTTGTAGCTGAGACTGTAATGCAAGAGGTAGAACTAAAATGACATACAATGCACTTTAAAGTGAAAAATGAAAATATTCTGTCGCATGCTGTGGTCATGGTTTTATCAGGCCTTACTAATTCGAAACATGCTCTGCTATAGAGGAAATGTCTTCCCATATTTTCTCAGAATCATGGCTGATGGAAGACATTTCAGTGCCAAAAGGATTATTTTCCATGCAGAAAACATACAACGTGCCTCCCGCGGGCATTTCATTGTGATAGCATAAATGACTGCGAGAATGGTGCAGATGAAGAGAACTGTGGTGAATACTGCAACATCTGTAAGTATACGGAAACAAAATCTGGTTGTGGGATGTGCTCCACCAGCTAATACACACTGAATCACTAATAGTCGGCGGATGATCCACAAGCCTGACAAGTCTGGGGTTTTCAATGATGTAATTGAATATTTTGTTTTCTTCAATGAATGAGGGAATTACACCATGCTGGTCAGCAAAGAAAACTGACAGGGTGTCTAAAGTCATGCCCCAGGCAGACTCCACTGCTGAGATTCCTGCAGAATCCCTACTATATTATCCTCTGCTGTGGACAGTGGCTAATCACTGCAGATCTGTGTGGGGAATCCTTCAAAGTGGGTGCACGAACTCCTGCACATAACTATGGGTACTTATGCTCAGTAAGGCTTTCTACCAGTATAAGTGAAGTATTCTTATTCTATGATGATTTCAAGTGTTGTAAGATTCTTAGATATATACATATGTTGGTATATATACATAATCACCTTTGCACTTGGTGGTGATCACAGTACCATTCCTCTCTGTCTTATTGATCTCCATGCCCACTCTCAATCCAAAAGAGCAATGAGGAAGTCAGATCAATAAGACCAATCTTCTTTATGGGCTAATAAATGATCCCTATTTTGGAGCATGATTCCCTCTACATCACATGTGCCTTCTTCTGTGACTCTGAAGCATGTTGAGTCAGAAGATAATGTGTCAACTCCACTATCATCTCCTGCTTTGTATCCTCCCTCCCCACCTGCCTCCTACTGAAGTTCTCACATCTTTCACTTCCTCTTCTTCTTTCTAGGTATTTCAAATCATCCTCCTGTGCCTTTGTCCTTATCATCACCCCTCAGCTACCATCTTTGGATGTGGTCATTTGTGTTCATGACTTTCCACATTGCACCTTTCCTGTTTACTGTTCACCTACATACCAGTGCCATTACCAGCTCCAGACTGCACTCTGGTGTACTAAAACTGATTGCCCCAAAGACTGATATTCTCCACATGTAATAGAGACCCTTACCTTCTGCCAATCTATTAAAAAAAAAAAAAAAGAAGTCTAAGCTTTATAAGTTTTAACTGATTTTCTCTCAAATCTCATAGAACTTGCACAATTGCTTATACATTTAGCTGGTCCAGTAATGATCTGTTCTCATCATTTTCCATGGTTTTGCCTGAAATTTGGCATCACCAAACATAGTCATTTACTGAAACTGGTGTAAACTGTCTCGTGTTTACTGAGTCACTTTCTGACTTTCAGTCTTGTCCTAGAACACTTCCATCATCATTTGTAGATTTTCACTGTAAATAATTTGTAACTCTCCATGCTATACCATGTACTGCAGTGTGAGTTTCTCTGCTACATTAATCATTCTACTTTAGCATTCAGTTCTTTTTATCAACACATCTTCTAATAATATTTTCCATCAACATGAGATTTCTCTCTCTATTTCTCTCTCTCTCTCTCTCTGCAGTGCTTATAGTCTGCTACACTTCTGATATTCAATTTACATGAGATTTCTTAATTTGGGCTTATAATTGCTACTCATAATCAGCAGAAAAGACAATAAAACAATGTGTTTGAAGATTTAATTTTGGTTCCATCCCATATAAGAAAACACATGTACCCCACAGACAAATTGGCATTAATGTTCTGGTTTTCATTAAAAGCTGATAGACAATTTAAAGTACAGCTGAAAAATGTTAACACTTTTTATAGGAGATAATAGTGGATGGGCAAGTATCTTTGATATGGTTCATGGAAAGTCTGATTATCTGGATTTATCCAAAGAATTCTAACTTAATCTTAATGCCCTTATTAATATTCTTAAACTATTTTACACTTCTACGGCTTTTCACTGCATACATGTATTTACTATAATTATAGAGATATCTGGAATTTTAGATGTGCTCAGGGAACTTTATTACTTTCCCAGAGCTTTTTGCATGCATACCAGAGCAGAGCAGAGTAATGCAATGTGGAACTTACTTGTTAGTGCCAGGTTGCAGCTTTATAAAGTTGCAGGGAAATGGTAATTAAATTTCTGGAAACTTTTGGAAAGTCAGTATTTGTTTTCATCCCACTCAGGAACAAAAGAAAAAAGAAAGGCTTCTCTATGAGCCATGAAAAAAAAACAAAACGATACCCATAAAAACAAATGCTGCAAAATAAACGCACACACACGAACTTTTTGAGCATGACCAATACTGCAAATAGAGACTGAAGATGCACAAAAATTGAAAGATACAAAAACAAAAAAATCTTTCAACATCACAACGAAAACCAAACACACACCACAATGAATAGTTTTATAAAACCACACATAAACTTACCACACAGCAAACTTCATTACACTTGTGTCGTCCACATGATCTTTTCTTGTTGCATCGCTTGTCACACATGAACGTAATAGCAGCTAAACAAAACAAAAACAAAACAAAAACAAAACAAATATGAGCCATGAAAAAAAAACAAAAACAAAACAAACTTGAAATGTTTTATGTTGATCCCTTCTAAAATATTTCTTCCTGCCTGCTGCTGAAGAGTCATAAACCCAAAAGCCTCAGCTCAGTCAAAGTGTTACAGCTCTGGGACAGCTCTTCAGGTGGACTGCCAAGTTGGGGTACCCAAAAAGCCCTTCCCTTAAATTCCAGAAAGCAAGGACAGTGTCTTGGCAAGCAAGAGGCAAGTTTAGATGCTGTGTTCCCTCTGGTCTGCACTAAAATCAAAGCATCCAATTTCCAGTGAAGTGTAGCAACTTAAAAAATCTGCATTCTCCAGTGGAAACTGTTCCATCAGCAGTTTCTCAGATGTTCTAATTTGTATGTATATATAAATTTATATGTCTATCAAGTACATGTTGTGTTTCAGTTACCCTTATTGTAGCTTATGGACAGTAGGGTATTAAATTTGATTTATATTTTACTTATGTTTGCTTTCAGCACATGTAAATCACTGCAGTCCTAGGAAGTGCAGCATCAGTGTTTTATAGCCTTCCTGACAGATGATCCTTACTAAGGTAATGTGAGGGTGTTGCATCTAGATGTCCAATCTCTCTCTAAGAAGAGGTCTCAGAATGACAATCCCTCTGATCAGATGTACTTGGTGTATATGTAAGACATATTCACTTAATAATTCCTTTTCCCACATCTCCACCAATACTCAGAAGGTCACAGCTGCATGGAAACAGAACTAGAATGTGCTGCTGTTAAAGTCTGTTCCATTTGTTTCAAGTAATGTAACCCTCCCATAAGCAGAGTTCCCTTTGCTCTCCAGCATAAAGCTGTTTTACAGAGATGCCTAAACACGCTTTGCATAGTGCTAGACTTCCTAGTATGGGCCCTCTGCATTCAGAGACTGCAGAAAAGGTTGACCCACTATAGATATTTACTAGGTGATTTACGAGTATGTAGTGAATGCTGTGAGCATTTTGCTGCAAGGCCCACTTCAGTGTGGAATTCATCTGCCAAAATAGATGTGTCAAACCTGTCAACCAGCCATCTAATACAGGTCATATGAACTGCACACAGAACATGTTTACTTCTCTCCTCTAAAGAGAGCTTGGGGTGTTAGCTGAGATGTGCATTTTGCAGTGTAGTGTTTACAATTCGGTGAGCAGAAAGCTATTTGGGTTCAACATTCCTATTGCTTAAAGCCTGTCAGCCCCAGGCCACTCACTAAAGATCACTGGTTGTGCAGGCAGCATTGGGGTAATGAGCACCCGCCACATATTGCTGAACTTACTTACCAAAGCAGGAATTTCAGGATTATTGGTTCTTAATGATGACTGACAGCTCCCTAGTTCATTTTGCTAGCTCCAGTCCTACAGGTTGTCGAAATTTATATATGGCTGAATACTTGTTAATATGAGAAATTCTCAAAGATCTGTCTGGATTACAGAAGGAAAATATTTAAAAGAGGCCAGTCTTAAAATTTTGTAATGAAGTTTGCTGCCTTCAGCTAGCTCGTTCAAGCAGTCAAGTACATTTACTTTCCAAACAGATCAAAGGGAGGCCTGTCTTCTCCCAGCTAATCCCAGGAGGGCACTCAAGCTTCATCTTGGGATTTAAACAGTAAGGACAGATGACAAAGAAGCTGAGGTTACCCAGGCTTCACAGGCAAGGTAATGCACCCAACGTGCTGCAGCTGATGTAACGTATGGAATGTGCCCAAAGTCCTTTCCGGGCTCTGACCCTGTGTCAGCTGCACCCAGGTGTAAGGTCTGATTTTTGACAGTTGCAACACTGACCAGTTAAGACCTAATTTAAACATCAGTTACCGATTACTTTTAGGTCGCTCACACACAACCTGATCCATTCTCTTCCAGATTAAGTTTTCAGCAAGCGTACAAAGGTGAAGAAAATGTGAGTATCTTGACAGTTCATTAAATTATTACATGAGCCCTGGAGTATATAGAATGAACAAAATCAATACAGAGTCACCTGTGTGATCACTTTTTAAACAGTATAGCACAGCATTTGCCTTTGAAATTCATGTTTTGACCATGCTGGTCTTCCAGTGTAGCCAGATGTGCACAGATGCAGGCAGTTTTGTATGCAATACACAGAGATCTAGTCTTGCTCCCTGCCACAGAAAAATGAGTAAGCAGAAAATAAGTCTGTCTAATAAGAAATACCACCATTTTGTCATGAAACTGCACCTTACTGTTTTAAAAGGTTAAATAAAGCATCTTTTTTATTTTTCCCCTTTTTTCTTTCTTTTTTGTTACTAAGCTACCATGGAAACCAATTGAAAATTTATGCAAGTAGCTGTACACATGGCAAGTTCTCCTGTGTAGTCAATCCTCTCACAGACCACTAGCACATTTTTTTTTCAAGCTGGGTGGTGTCTTCCATGTTCTTTATATAGTAGGATGGCCTTTTTACTGGAATTTGACTTGGAGAACTTTCAATACAGCTTCCTCCAAGTTCTTGTAAGAACTAGTCTGACCTTCATCGAGCTATGAAGAAGGAAGGCGTTCATATATATTACATTGTCAGGTAGAATGACTTGTGTCCTTTTAAAATATGGCTGTTGTTAATAAAATAATGTTAATAAAATTATAATGTTGTTAATAAAATAATGTTAATAATGTTAATATATTAATGTTAATGTTAAAATAATGTTAATAATGTCAATAAAATAATAATGGCTGCCTTCCATCCAAAAGCGGTTAGCAGCCTGCAAGAACAACAGTCATGTGAAAGGACTGTAACATTTGAAGAGTAGGCAGAGTGCTAGAACCAATTTTATATAAACAAAATATACATGCCACTAATTTTCAGCTGAGATGCATCAGCAGGTGCAACGTATGATAGCATAAGTGTGCCAAGAAGGATGGGTAGTGATGGTTCACATTTAATAAAATTTAAAATAATACACCTGTAGGCTGGAACAGTATTGGCTTTTCTCCCCAGCCTCCAGTGCTTTCTATTTTGTATCTTATTTTTTATACTCGATCTTCTATTCCAAAGGCATGACCAAGAAATGGGACATGACATGCCCTGGAGACAAACACATACTGAATAGCCTCAAAGAAGTCATTAGAAAGTTCTGTTCTGGTGGAAAATATTGAATCTGACTTCAGTGGTGTTACACCAGGCATTAATTTAGTTGTGTGCTTAAAATGGCAGAAGTGGATAAATATGGAATTATAAAACATTCTCATTTCTAAGAAGTTAATGAATCATGATTATCCTAGCTTTCTTACCTTACCTGTACCAGATTTCTACAACACAATTGCATTCAGACAATATCAAGGAAAGCATTCTTTGGACTATGCAATCTTCAGAAATTGTGAGTACGTTATTGCTCTATTTTGGCTTTTTAAATAACTGATTGCCACTTGGGTATCACAGAGCAACCAGCCTTCCACAATCCAGGAAATGGCATCTAAACTTCAGCCTTTCAAAGTCTTATCCAACCACCATTCCGTATATTCCAGTAGCTCGAGACAGATGTGAGCACTTCCTAAATTTGAACTCTTGCTGTGACTCTAATTGCACACCAGGGCAAAGACAAATCACTGAACTTCTTTTTGTATCATTATCAACCCGTTATAAACTTCATTTAGTATGTGTACCTGACACTGCCTCATTAGTTGATGTTCACAAACCATATTGGCCAAATTTTTCAAATGTCAGTATTATTTACAGCATTATTAGATACCTGGGTAACCCTGCCACTTCCAACAGCTCATACAAGCTCAGTGCCTTTGAAAATCAGGTTAATCTTTTCAGTTCCTTATCAAGTTTTGAATAAGCTACAGGTATTGACTTTGATAGATTACCATATATAAATGCAAAGCATTTTTACTATGTCTGCCTTGGTCTAGGAAGCATAATACCTAGGCAAAAGTTGTCCATTGCATCATAGCAAAACACATCCATCCCAGTGCGTTGCAAAACTATTCATAAAAGCACATTTTTAATGCTTTACCCAGCATCATTCCATGTATAAAATATTTAAAGGATTAAGTCAAATGCCCTTGCAGTAACAGACAGCCTTTTATGAGATAGAAACATTAAAATACTTTCACTCAGTATTTTAAAAGCAAATATTGCTTGTCACAGTTCTTTATCTTTCTGGTTGTTCTCATCAACTGTCTGAAAGGTTTCTGCTTCCTCCCTTTAGAAGTAGTCTATCAGTTTTTAGATAGTGTTATTCTAGCTTCCGTGTTATATGTTTTTGTCAACAGGTATCTCAGTCATAAATGTATCACTAGTTTGAAACCTGGGGTATTCAGAGATATACACAAATTGAAATGGCTGTGAGTACCCACTTTCTCCCTGTCTGTAAAAGCACCATTCATCACTGGCAGTGCGTGTGTTTATGGCATTGATCTAAAAAGAAAGGAACAAGGCAATAAAGCTATGTCTGCAAATGACAATGAAGGGCAATGAAGCTGGTGAAGGGTCTGGAGCACAAGTCTTATGAGGAGCGGCTGAGGGAGCTGGGGTTGTTCAGCCTGGAGAAGAGGAGGCTGAGGGGAGACCTTATCGCTCTCTACAACTACCTGAAAGGAGGTTGTAGTGAGGTGGGGGTCGGTCTCTTCTCCCAAGTAACAAGCGATAGGATGAGAGGAAATGGCCTCA